CACTTCCACTACCACTTCCACTACTACTACTACTACTACTACTACTACCACTACTACTACTACTACTACTACTACTACTACTACTACGACAACAACAACAACAACAACAACAACTACTACTACTACTACAACCACTACTACTACTACTACGACGACTACTACTACTACTACTACGACGACGACGACGACGACGAGGACTACTATGACTTCTACTCCGACAACTGCTGCTCCTACTACTATTATTGCCACCACAGCCAACGCAACCACCACGACCACAACAGGCACCAGCACTCGACCCGACCCGACTGCTACCACTTCCCGCCACCGCCACTCTTTTCCTGTGAGTTCAAGAAGAAGTTCCCGAAGTTCCAGGATGACTTGTTTTCATCTACTGGGTTTGGATGGCTCCCAATGAATACCGTGCATCCGGTGCAAAACACCGGCAAAACCTTGCTGTGCACTTGCGGGATGTTGAAATGAATTGAAATGTTCGAGTCAGCAGCATGCGATTGTTTGATTGCTTCTTGCCCACGAGGTTTCGGTACAAGCACCAGAACCGTGTGGAAAAGGACGAGGACGAGGAAAAGAAACACCTCAGGCGCAGGGAGGGGCATCGCAGGTTGACATCTGGTCATGGGTCATGACTCAGGCCTCAGACGGGCTCCTCAGCACGACAATTCGTTTTCTCCTGAAGGCTGCAGCAAGAGCTGCAGAAACTGGAGAAGGCGCAGTGCCTACAAAAAGCGTTAGCGGCTTATTCGCCTGTGAACAGGATCGTTTTTTTGTGACGAGGAATACAACGCCTTTGGCGAAGCTGGAAAGGAGCACTTGAAGGCGAAGAAGGTCAAGGCAGAGATAGACAAGGTGCGCCCCAAGTTGGCGCGAACCAGAGTTGCACGGCAGTTCCAGCGACGGCTCGTGTCCAGTAGCCTGCGCATGTGTCACAAATGCTCGTTCAATCAGGTACAGGAGCAGCTGGCCTTGATGGAAAAGAACAAGCCGCGCCGTGCATGTTTTGACGGTCAGACCCGAAGGAAGAAACACCAAAACCATGATATTGCTCGGCTAAGTGCCGCTCACAGACACTTAAGGAAATGGAATGCTGACAACATGTGCAAGACTGCACCGGGCTTACTCGGGCATGTTCATGGATACTTCGTCCCATGGTGTGATGACATAGGAGTCATAATGTGTGGTTCCGGGGCAGCCAGTCCCTTTCATGGCCTGTGCTGTAAGTGCAGGCCGACCAGAAGACGTTAGTCTCAGAAAGCAGAGAAACGCCCGGGTGCCATGCCTCAGATTGCGCGATAGACTTATCACAAGGGTCCTCCGGACATTGCGACAGCTGAGGCCGGAGCCCCGGTTGCAAGGCGAAGCGGTCGCTGAAGGCTGCAAGCTGAAACTCGCATCCGTGGGTTGGCCGAGAGCGCAGGGAGAGAGCCGGCCTAGCGGGCACAGGCGATCGCCTCTGCAGAAGTAGATTCGAGTAATCCGCGGAGTCGAGCTCGTTCCAACTCTCTTGAAGCCGCCCTTGCTGGTGTCGACCAGGATACTGTGAGTTCATCGAAGAGAACGAGGCCGACGTTGTTGATGCCTCTCCGAACATATTGGACCTTCGTCAGATGCTCTACTGCGGATGGCTTAGCCCAGCCTCCTGCATGTTGCTGTTCAGGATCTGCTTGAAAGCTACATCTCTTTGGGCGCCGAGGAGGACTTGGTGGAAGCGCAGTCATCTATGGTAAGGCTGTTTAGGCCACGAGTGCTTGGTGGGCCAGGTATTTATTCTAGAGTGGTGTGTAGCACGACACGATTTTGGAGAAGCTTCCAGCCAGCAGACTAGTGACTAGTGGTATTCATTCGCGAGGACTTGGAGAAGGTAGCCAACTTTCTTCGCGAGCATGGCGGCAAGCTGCTTCAGGGAGTGTGGGCCTTGGAAAGCGTGCACAGCACAGCCACTCTGCAATGCTCCATGCTTGTCGGTTCACCCTTCTCAACTTCACTTAGCCCAATTCGTCGCCAGGAGCATGCCGAGTCGAGGGCCCAGTGTTCTCCTTTCATCCCCTTTCCGAGCTCTAGATGTTTGTGCCGGGATGGGCCACTCCGAAACATCTTTGGATCACCCCGCCACTGTTTGACGGAAGCGTTGCAGTGTGGAGTTTCGACCTTCAGAGTGCAGGGTCACCGTGACATCATGGTGTCCTCAGGTCCTACCTATTGTTAGACTGCCTGGAGAAGGAGATGAACGAGCTTCACCAGGACCAGTCTGCTAAAAACCAGTCTGTTGGATGTCTCGGTGACAGCTGTGTGGAAGATAGTGGAAGCAGGAGATGGCTCAGTCTGCACGGCAGCTTGCGCCTAAGCAACTGCACGTTGGAACGGGCCTACCAACTTCATGCTCATGCGATCTCTCGAACACAGCAGGTTGCAGTTGCTGACGCAGCTGCGTGAGTTTTCCCGCGCGGCCGGACGGCCAGCACGTGGGAACCCAAGAGACGCCGGTGGTTATAAGCGGCCCGGCCCGGGCCAAGGGCCTGCGATTGAAAGGAAGCACGGCATCACACCAGCCAAGTCTACTTCAAAGGAAAGATGTCAGTTGCAGCTTACTGCCTAGCATGCAACGAGGAGACTCGGTGAACCCCATCTTCCAAAAGCTAATTGAGAGCCTTGGCAGGTTTGTTTAGCGGCGCTTTCTGGTTGCGAGACCGCAGATCAATACATTGCAGCCGGTCTCTTCGACCCTAATTTGCCCAGGCATGAAGGAACCAGAGAATCCTTCGATGCCTCTAGCTTGCACCAGCACTTGTTCAGATGCTGTTGCCGTGAATGCTAGGTCACTGAGGGTTCTGGAGCCTGTCTGGCAAGGAAACGGTGCAGAACTTCATCCAGCGTGTGGAGCGCCGTGCCGTGGTCAAGAAGAAGGACAGTCGCGTGGCGTCTCCTCAGACTAGGGCGAAAGTGCTGGGAAGAGCGTGAGGAGATGGATGCCGAAATGGAAGAAGAAAGGAAGCAGCTCAATCCTTTGGGGCCTGGAGGGCTGGACCCCTTGGAGGCAAGTGCCAGGAGTAGATGAGCGGCCTGCCATCCTTGTTGCGGATCACGAGGTCTTCGAGACGCTGCCAGCAGAGATGCAGAAACTTGATTTCATTGGCATTGGTTCCTTGAAATTGGTTTGGGGTTCCTGTCTCGAACACCTCACAGAGCTTTTTCCTGGAACCCTACTTCCTCTGCTTTCTTGATCCATTTTTCTTCTTCTTCGCTTTTCCGTTTGCGCTTCCGCTTCGCCGGGTTAGATCATTGTTGTTCGTGGTTGGTTGCTTGCTTTATTGATTCTCGATTTCCGCTGGCCCCGCCTACATACGCTCGCATCCCCACCTTTTCAAGCAAAGCCACGCCTAGCCGAGTCGAGCCAGGCAGCCTGTAGGCCAGAGCCAAGCCAGGATGCAACGTGTGGGAAACCTTATCGAGGTTTGAAATTCTCGCACTGGCAATATACTAATTCTTCAGTGCACTCCTGAATGATATGGCATTAACCGCGTTGAGGACATGCCATGTCGAGTTCGAGACTTTCTCTAAGGTGCTACCCCCAAATAGCAGTACTTGTCATAGTCTAGAAGTTGTTTTGGCGGTGTCATCGTTGCACTTGCAGGCGCGCATTGCTGCATTCGGGGGTAGGTGGCAAGCCACCCCCCAGCCCCGCTGAAGCAAAGCAACTCCAAACCTGTGTAAGCCAAGCAGAACCCTTTTCAAGACTGCCCCTCTTGCGGTTTGTGCCATGGCGCCAAAGGCTTCAGCGATGTTAGAAACCTTTCTAGAATTTCTCACAAGGGTGGACATGATGACATCAAACAGCGTAGTTTACTCGCTATAGTTTCTCAAGCCCACGTTTTAATTTTAAACGCATTGAGGACTTGCCACTTCGAACCTAAGTTAAACAGCTCAAGAAAATCTAGGGAGCACGACCCCATCAGTACTTGAATCAGGGAGGACGTCCAACGTGTTTTCATTATGTCAGCCTTGGAAGTCTCTCACTGACAGGTGGGGCCCTGGGGGAAGGGCCCGGCTCACCCCAAAACCCCCAGCGACAGTGAAGCCAAGGAAACACCAAGCCAGCCGAAGCCAAGTCAGTTTTTAGAGACTGCCCATTTTAGGACTGCTGTCATACAGGATTCAGCGATGGTAGAAAGTTTAGTGAGGGTTAGAAATCCTCAATATGTGGTCAAGTCTGGTCAAGTCAAGTCAAGCCCACAAGACATAGCATAATGAAAAACCGTGCGAAGCCAAGTTTTTCCACAAGCGCCGGCCCGAGGAACCGAGTAGTGTGGCCCTTCTGGGACTTCGAGCGATTCGAAGGTGAAAATGAGCACAGGACTTTTGCAGAAGCAAGATTTCCACAGAATAAGATTCCCCAATAAGCACAGCACTGTGTTTCGGAAGCACGATTCATGAGTGCGGAAGCACAGTGAAGCGCCAAAGTGTTGGATTTTCAAAATGACTTCGGCCTCCCCGGCGGAAGTGGCCGGCGGAAGCGGCCTGTGCAGAAAACATCGCTTCTAGTCCAGTCTAAGCCTGGCCACAGTAGGAGCTGCGCAACGGTCGAGCACACCAGAAGGCAACACAACATCCAAAAGCAAGCAATCGAAGTTTGGATGCAGCTCTGGCGAAATCCAGCTGTCTGTCGACGTGTCCCGGAGGGAGGCAGTCAACCGCAGGGGCTTCGTTCCCCTTTAAGTCGATGCCTAGTTCAGGATCGCTTTCAAGACGAAGGATGCTCAAAGGTTACAGGCAGCTGCAGGGCCGGCCTGTTGAAGGCGAAGAGAGCCCACAGTGTGGGTGCTTGGTGCCCTGTGTCTGCCAGGTCGAGGCGCTGCCGGAGGAGGAAGCGAGGTACCACCTCCAGCGCTGCGAGGACAGTGGCCTCTGGGTGCCCAGCCAGCAGGCACAGAGCATCACAGAAGTATATGAGAACAAAAGTGCACAGTCTTTCATTGCTGTGTGCCCCGTGCAGGGCAGCCCTCCTCCATACCGAGCCTGAGATTTGCCGAGGCATCAATCGATTGCCAATCTTGTGACGGAATATATACCTGGATTCTTGTTTATCTTCACTGTAGATGGTTGCGCGACCGCAGATGACAATCTGAGTGGACTAAATCGTGCTGAATCTGAAGCAGAGGAGCCCAGCCTTTCCGTCACAACTGTCGATAGCGCACAGCTGTCAAGACGGCGGCTTGAATTCAATCTTGCAAGCGGATCCTCGAAGGATTGAGAGATTGAGGGGTTTATCCGCTTGCCAGAACCTCTGCCTGCACGAATCTCGAGCATGCAGCAAAGACCTACCTGTAGCTCTGAAGCTCCGTAGCCAAAAGTCACAGGCCCTCCTACATGATGCAATAGGTTCTCGCCTTGGGTGTGCCGTCATCTAAAGTTACAAAGGGCAGTGAACGGCAGGATGCAAGGGCAGCCGTCGTAAAAACGGCGCTGAGCCCGGGGTGAAAGCACATTCACGGAGTGCCTCGTCGAGTCGTAGAGGTTTGTGAGGAGGCGGCCAGCAATCGAGAGCCTCGGGCAGTGTAGCAATCTGCACGGCGGTGGTGGTGGTGGCAGCAAGCTGTCCTAGGCTCAAGGTCGAGGTGAGGAAAGGATCGTCCCGTTCTTAGGACAGCGAAGACGCCGCCAGGGCACGGCTGCTATGCGCGACAAAGCGAGGGTCCAGAGTCGACTGGCATCCTGGGCGATCTCACGTGGTAGCCCCCGGTCATGCAATGACAAGACAACGAGTGGCTGGTGATGTTCGCGATGGAAATGGGCCAAGACGTGACTGAGAATCCAAACCGGAGTCCGCAAACGAACTTCAGCAGACGGCAGCGACGATGCCTTGTTTCTGGAAGCTAGGGCAGCCATGGCAGTCAAACGGAAAAGAAACGAGTGCATGTGGCAGCTTGGACCACGTTGGTCAGTTGTTCAAACTATTACGGAACGTCAACATGCACGGCACGTGGCGGCAGCGAGGGTGCAGCAAACCCTAAGTTCCGAAAGGAAAACTGGCGAGAAGAGCGCTCACTACGCGGCGCACTGATGTGAATGGGGCGGCATCGTGCGTCGACGGCGCCGCTGGTCCACGTTCCACACACGGGGGGCGATAGCGCGGGTTGGAACATGTCGAAATTGGTGCGACGTGTTTGTCACGTATAAGAGCATAATGCAGGTGCGATGCATTGCGATGCTGTGCACGCAACATGCTGACACGAAGCAGCAGGCACACAACTGCAAGGTTTGTATCGTTATACGCGGAGGGATCACCTGTTGCTGCTTGAAATGCTGCTTGAAGGAAGGCTGCCATGCCCGCAGGTCACGCAGGCCGTTTGTCATCGTTTTGGCCCTCGACCAGACTCTGTGCATCGTGTGTACTTTACATTGACTGCTGTTTCCGCAGCATAGTCGCTTCGCAGCTTCGGCGGCGTGAGAGGAACGTGGCGTATGCTGCGCGGCGCTAGCGGCAGCGGGAGCCGTATAGGCGGCGCAGCAGAAGGACGCGAAACAGGGCACTGGGTACGGTGACGTCATCCCGTGTGGGCGTGACGTTGAAGGCACGGGCGGCGAAAGGCCCAGCTTGGGACAGCAGCAGCGCACGAGATGAGGTCAGAAAAAAGTGCATCTCGTGCGTGAGCTGCGAGCCGCTGCCAGCCTTTGAACGGCCTGCGGTGACCAGGGCTTGAGGGGCATCAAAAAGTCAAAGCCGGTGTCGCAGAGGTGGTGCTGTCGCTCTAGGACGGCAGCAGCGGCGGAAGGCAAAGCTCCTTCAAAGGAAGACGGGGAGATACGGGGAGGGTGTCGCACCAAGACGCCCAGTGTGCAGCGTGGCGGTCAGCGCTCGCGCAATGCAGGCCAAGCCCACCGAACCGCTGGGGGAGTTGAGCGGCCCGGAGATTCGACACAGTCAACGGGGGGCGTAGTGTGGGGGCAGGATGCGCAACAGGTAATTGGCGCGGGCAGCGGTGCAAGATTGGAGGAGCAGCCTAGGCAGCTTGCAACTCGAGGTGAGGAAAGTGCTGCAGAAGGCGGTCGTGCTCGACACAGTTGTTCCAGAGTTGATGGGCGACGAAGTCATCGTGGCCGAGAAGGGATCCCAACCCGGTGGGGAGGGACCAGTCGCCAACCCAAATAGGCTCAACGGCGCCGCCATCAACGGTTCCCCCTGCTCGCCACCCTCGGCTTGGGGGATGCGGTGTGAGCGATCGTCCGCAGACCAAACGTAACACGACTCCCGGGCGTATACCACATACGACCACATGGGAGGACAGGTAGGACACTACCCACGCGCCACCATCCTCTCTGTTTATGCTGTGGGTGTGTTCGACCATGTTGCACGTGGCGCGATGCTCGGGGCCCCGCACGATCCTGCACTCTCGACGGGAACTCCACCCCCTCCTCCCCTTCGCTCGGCAGTTCGTCTCTGGCCATGTTTTCCGTGGCTCTGCAGCCTGCACTCCGAGCCCTGCAAATTGAGCTTCCCCAGGGCGAGCAGGTATGCCAGTACTTTTTACGACATGTACGTCCTTGCCCCACCTGCCAGAGTCGCTGAGTTGTAAGGGCGACTTGGCTGCATGCGCGCCTCCACGTCAAAGCTGCCAAAACGAAGGTGTGGAACTCTGCTGGCATTCTCCCACCTGGCGTACTCGCGCTTGCCCCCTTAGCAGAGCGTGGTGTTGTTGCCTTTGGCGGTCCTGACCCGCCAGCCCGGCCTGCTGGACTCTGCGTGCCCTGACTCCCCAGTTGCATGGTTTGTTGCTCTCCGATGTCGCAGCGCCCGCTTGACAGCACACACGGCCACGCCGCCGGCCACGATGCTGCGATCCTGCACTGCCTCGCAGCGCTGTTGTTTGCTGATGACGCCTCGCCGTTGCCAGAATCCGCTCAAGCACGCGCGCACTTGCCACTGCGGCACGCGGCCCCGGCTTGCGCATTGCGAGAAGGCATATGCGCTCACCTCATGGGCTGACGCGTTGCGCGCAATAGCCCAGCGCACGCTCGATTTCGCACACGACGTCGCCACAGCTTTGGCGTCTGATTGGCCATTTCCCGAAGCATCCGAAGCCCCCAATCGGTGCGAGACGCACCTGACTTGCTTCATGCCATTGGTTTTGAGCCCTTGCTTGGGCGGAGTTGCGGCGTGCGGAGGTGCCAACCCAGCCCGAAGAAGACCCGTCCTTTGACCTCACTCGCGGGTGCCAGCGCCCGGCATCCCAAGCAGTTGACGAGTTTTGCTATCGGGCGTCCTTCGTGAGACTCATGCGGCACGCGTTCACATTGGAATCGCCGCTCTTCCGAGCCATATCCTTGGCGCCGACTTCGTTTGCCGCTTCCACTGACCTCTGCCAGATGCCGCTCGTGTGGTTCAGGGAGGCTGGTGCGGCCAATGTTCCCAACGTGCCTTTCCGTGAGACTTGAATGTCGACGTTGTCCGACAAGACGACCGGCGCATTGACCCGCCCCCTGGCAAATGCCAGGGCCCTGAGCGCGAAAGCTCCTAATCGCCAGGCTGCGAGAGCTGCCTGGGATGGCCTGGGTGCAGCGCTGGGGCGGTAAGCTTGCTGTCGCTGCCCTGCGCGCCGTCGCCGCATCCCTCCTCGACCACCCTGCTGACTCTGAACCCGGTGCTGCGGG